GCCTGCCGCCACCCTGTGCTCCGTGGCAGCGCCGCAGGCCAGATAAAATGGCTTGGCGGGCCGCATGTTGGACAAGCCTGAGCTAAACTGTAGTGTAGACAAAGGACCTGTGTGCTAGTATAATTTTACCCAAGCGCACAGTGACTTGCACAGTAGCTACATCTACACGTGCATGGATGTTTGGTTCCCCAAGGACAACTAGTAGTGGCGCACCTTGTGCCACTGCTTCTTGTCCCTGGGGAACACCTCTGCCACACATACTCTGACACACAGCAGGTTACCCTGAGTTGAGTAGGGGAGGTTGGGGCCAGCACTGGGCTAGCCTCAGCCGTCTTTCCTGAGGGAGTCCTGGGGCTGCAGCAGTGGTGATCCTGCAGCACAGCCTGATCAGCAGCTGGAGCATGGCTCTAGCCAGCCCGTCTTCAGTTTTGAGTGGCTCATGCTGCCCTCATATGTGCCGCTCCACTTCCCGCCCCTTGCAGGTTTTTTGACCCCTGGGGTCAAAAAAAAAAAAAAAAAAGTTCCTGCTCCCTTACAGCATGGAGAACAACTGAATGTGTGGTATGTGGCACCACAGGCGTGTCTGCAGCACTACATACATCATGGCCACGCTAGTATGACTCGATTGTACATCCTTTCCACATTTACACCTGCATAAAGGCAGATAACAGTTGTAAGTGCACTGTGTCACTCTTTATCTCATATCTCAGAATACTGCTGGCCACTTACCTACAGTGGTTCCAAACAGACACGCATGGAAAAATAAAGAACAGTTACTTACCCTCAGTGTCTCTCTGATATATTGTCTATGTGGGTCCTGCCACCCATCCCCTCCCTCCTCCTGCATTTGAAGTCTTCAGCTAGCAGGGGGACTGAGGTGGAGTAGAAACCATTCTGACCTTGAGGCTTTTGCAAGACCTCAGACCTTGAGGCTGGGGTGGCATGGGTCCTAACATGGGCAACTGGTGCCTTCCAAATCTGGGGGGCACCACGGGCACCAGACTGCCGAAAGGAGGGGAGGTCCCCCAGCGGCCGATCGGAGAGCCAGCAGCAAAACCGGAAGTGCATTTCCACTGGCACTTCCAGTTTCACGGCTGGTGCTTCCAGGGGGTGCACAGCTAATCTCAGGGGGTGCACATGCACCCCCTGCACATTGCAAATGGGTCCTAAGGTACATGATTGACAGCACAAAGGTTGCAAGTTTGAGACCACAGCGGAAGTGCTCATGGTGCAGCCCTGTCAGATTTCAGTGATCTGCAAATTCTGCTAAATACCTTGTCATAAGGTCCCAAAAAAAGGAAGGAAGGCTTTTGCATGGAAGCACAAAATTAGGTGCATGCGTGGCATAGGCAAGTGCTGGCTTTCCAAAAAACAAATCTAGTCCTCTGTGCATGAAGTGCATGTGCACTTTCCGTGGAATCCACACATACTATATCACAAAGAATCACAACTGTCATAACCCCTCTTTTTTTAGGGTTTTGGTGTACATTGAGATCTTCCTACTAAGATGTAGTCTCATTTCAGCTGGTAAATACTAATTTTAAGCAAAGATTATGAGCTTTGTGAATAAGTGGTGTCTCCCAGTATAAAAACAGGCTGTTTCTTTAAGATAAGTGCTTGCTTTTTAACGTGTTCAAAACGTGCCTTTGATAGGGATGGTCAGTAAACTCTTGGCTGATTAGTCATTGCTCTCCAGGCTAGAAAGAATACAGCTGATAAATCGTGGTGTCTGCCATTCACTAAGTTGATTGCAGAAATGACTTAGGCTGTGAATCAGATTCTGAGGAAATCAGCAGAAGGTTGACTGGGAAAGGAAGAGCAAGAGTTACAGCTACTCACAGAAGACAATGTTTATCCATTGCTTGTTGCAAATTTATTGGAAAAATTCTGATAATCTGGCCATAGCTGGTAATTTTTGGCCACATAAAAATATGTACTTTCATCTGTCCTGGCAATACCCATCTCTCCTCTGGTCTCTTGTTCTTTTCAGACTGTGTATGCCAAAGATTGTCCCCTGGCAGCAGCTAAAGCTATTCAGGGTCTTCGGGCTGTGTTTGATGAGACGTACCCTGATCCTGTCCGTGTTGTCTCAATTGGAATTCCTGTGGATGACTTGCTGGCAGACCCCTCTGGTCCTGCAGGCTCTGTCACTTCTGTCGAGTTCTGCGGAGGGACGTGAGTATCTTGACTGAGGGATAGGGCTGGAATGCAATCCAGAGAGAGCTATTGCACCAAAGCCTGAGAGAGATGAGCTAGGGGTGTAAATATTGTTTAAAAATAGTTATTTGTTTAACCTCCTCTAATTACACCAGTTAAGCAATATAACTGATAACACAGCAGCTCAGACACAGCTGCTACTGGGAGCCACTCTCCCTAAGGGGAGGGGTGAGGAGGCAGTAGCAACTCCAGTCAGACAACAGGACCCATGTCAAGCCAGGAGCTGGAAGAGAGGGAGCATCTGTGAAGAGCATCTAATTGCTTAATTCAGGGGTTGCCAACCTGGGGTATGCATACCTCTAAGGGTACTTAGAAATGTCGTAGGGGGTACGTGTGGGCAGGCAGGTGGATGGGGACAAGCATGCCCTGAGGCTTCTTACCTGGGGAAGGGGAAGGGGGAGAAGCATGCTGGATGCCACTGGCCCCACACAGTACATCGCAGCACCTCCCTGTCCCACACCTCAGCTCACTCTGTGCCCACTCCTAGGAGCAGGGCCAGTGGCAGTGGTGCCCCTTTGCGGCCTACACGTGCACCCTCCAGCCAGCTGGACGGGGGATAGGGCTCACATGCGGCAGCTGCCAGCATCACCACCCTGCACTGCTGCCACTGCCATGCCCTGCACCACTTTCTCACGGCCGGTCACATGTGCAATTCCGCAGACTGGTGACAGGTGGCATGCAGTTGGCCCGGCACAAGGCTCATCACCAGCCCGCGGAGCTGCGTGTGCAACCGGCCATGAGAAAGTGGCATGAGGCATGGCAATGGTGGCAGTGTAATGTGGTGATTGGCAGCCCACTGCGTGTGCCAGACGTGACCTACCCCATGCTAAACAATAAAGCGGTAAGCTAATCTGTTATCACTGGGTTTATTGCTTAACAATTAATCATTTAACTTTTTCCCCATCCCCGATTTGAACTGTGTGTGTACATGAAGTCCCTGTAATAGGGCAGAGGGTGGTGGTAACACTGCATTCCTATAGTGTCTTCCAAGTCAGAGAAGTAGGGCTACAAGGGATGTCCAGAGGCCATATAGTCCACCCCACTGCCTGAAGCAGGATCATTCCTACCGAAACCATCCCATACAAACCATAATCTAAACTCTGCATAAGGCTGCCATCAACGCTGACACAACACAGACCTAACACTGTAACCTGCCACAGGTAAAGCAGGGAAACCACAGCAGCCAATGTCTTTCTTCTATAAAATGTTGTCAATACATTCTCAAGCAGTCCCAGGTAAAAAGCTATGCCCCACACTACAGGGGAAGGCTAAAACCCCCCCAGTCCTTATCTAACAAGTGCACTGGACCCCAGGGATGGCTGTGATGCCCCCCCTAGTGGCCACACAGCTCCTGTTAGACTTGCATTCTAAGGTACCCTCCCCCTTTGCCCACCCCTGCCATGCCTTTGTTGGAATTATTAGAATGTGAAAAAGGAGGCTGCCCAAGGGTCCTAGAGCAAACCTTAATCCATTTGACCACCAGCAGTTCCCTCTTGGATTCTGCTGGTCCCAGTTCTGTACTTGCACTAGGTGGGCCCTCTTGACCCATCTGTGCCTCCAGGGCACCTTTGCCTTATGGACTATGCATGGCTCCAACCCCCTCTGTAGCCACACCTATGCTTCACAGATATTGCTGTTCAGTCATTCTCACTTGTTGGGGCTTTGGCCTTCATAGCCTCTGCCCCTTCCCTTTTGCTGGGCCCTCGAGCCCAAGTCCACTGTGCCGGACCTGGCTTCCTGGGTTCCAACCTTTGTCTCGCCTACTTTAGCACTGGGACCCCCAACCCCGTGTCTCTGCCATGCTTGGGCACTGCAGGAACCTCCTCCACCCAGTCTGCCAGTGTAAAGTATTAACAAAGGAATAAACCCTCTGGCTATACCACAAACTCCAGACCAGGTCTGAGCATAAACATCAGCTCCCTGGCTGTACCACAAAACTCCCCCCTACCCTGAGCTGTATTCCCCCTATAGCAGCAGCATCCTACTTGCATTTCCCAAGGGTATCCCAGGTGTCAGCTGGGAACTCCTCTGCAGCCTTCCTCCTCATAAGCTCTTTTCTCTGTAGCCTGCATGGCCAGACTGCCTGCCCTGGCTCAGGCCCTGGCCTTATAGGCTCACTAAGCCCTGCCCCCTTTTGGTCAGGCGATTTCCACAGCCAACCACAGGAATTCTCATTCTGGGCTTGATGAGCAGCCTGCCTTTCTCCTGCAGCTAACCCCTGCTTAGGTGCCTGGGGCTCTTTCTGCTACAGTTCCTCCCATCAAGTAACAGGAGTCCTAGGCTCCCTATTACACTATCTAGTCTGACCCTGGGGTAAAGTTCCTTCCTGACCCCAAATATGGTGATCAGTCTGACCCTGAGCAGAGGGCGAAGACTCCCTAGTCCAGAGCTTCCATTCATCAGGAGCACTGGCACACCCTAAAGTCCCCAGCCTTGACTGTAGCCAGCACCCGATGCCTCTGGGAAGGCACCCTGCCACATATTGCCCCCTCTCCCCTTTTTCTGCTTTCAGGAAATCCCAGAAGCATGGGAAATACCTATGGTAGAATATAGGCATAGCTATGCCTAGATCATCCCCAACCAGTGACTGTCCAACCTCTTCTCAAACACCTCCAGCGATGGAGAGTCCACAACTTCCCTGGGCTGTCTATTCCACTGCTTCACTATTCTAACAATGAAGAAGTTTTTCCAGCTATCCAGTCCAAACTTACTTTGCAACTTCCAGCCATTGGTCTGCGTCTTCCTCTCTGCAACAAGAGAGAAAAGGTGATTTCCTTCTTTATGGCAGCCCTTTAAGTATTTCAAGACTGATATCATGTCCCCAAGCTGACCATGTCCCCTAGCTCCTTCAGCTCTTGTGGCTTACTCTTTATCATCTTTGTTGCCCACCTCTGGACCCTCTCTTACTTCTCCACATCCTTTTAAAATGTGGAGGCTAGAACCACACACTACTCCAGATGAAGTGTAACCAGTGCTGAGTAGAAAGGCACTGTCACCTTCTGTGTCTTGCACTAAATGCCCATCACCTTCACATCCTCCACCAGTTCTTCCCTGTTGGTCAGAACAAGATTCCAAGATAAATGATCCCCTAGTTGTATCCTCTACTTTCTGGAAGAGAAAGTTTTCCTTCACACAAGTTAGGAATCGGCTTGACATTTTGGGTGCTGACAGATGTGGGGGAAAAAGTGCTTTACTAGAAGTAGCAGCATGTTACCAAGACCCAGCTGTGCAGCATCTGTATAGATTGGATGCTTCAGCTGGGCTCTTTGGTGCTTTTAGCTAAATCTGATTCAATCAGCTGTTGGATAAAAGTGTCAAAAAATCCTCCTAAAGTGCCAGATCTATACAGATGCAGGGAAAGCCAGGTGCAACTAACACACTGCCTCTGCTGGGTAACTGCTGGGCTCAGTGCCGATGTTCCCTCTAAGCTGCACGTGTGCACAGCCATGCACAATAAAAAATCATGCCACGCAATAACTTTTAATGTCGCACACACACTGTCGTTCCGACGGGAGGGGGGCAGTAGGGTGCCATGGCCCTTCAGTGCCTGCCTGGGTGAGATGCCCAGTGCCATAGCAAGGGGGCGCCGATGCTCCTCCCACTGATGACTTTGCGTCCGGCCACTTGCCACCCGTCCCAACCCAGCCACAGGCTGCTGCAGGAGCGGGGAGGGGCGGGCACACTGAGCTACCCACACATTCCCAGCCAGGGTTGCACACGGATCACTAAACCTTAGAGGGAACATTGCTTAGCACAGGACTGTACCGAATTTTTAAGTAAAGTGCTGTTTTGGCGTGGGGTTCCATGTCTGCAAGCAGCCTTTATGTCTGGCTGCATTGTTATTCTGGCAGATGTTTAGAAAATTGAAGTCTCCCATCAATACCATTCCATAGTTTTTGGACAGAGTTGTCACCTGCTTGAAGAGTGCCTCATCCACCTCCTTTTCCTCATTTAGGTGGCCTCTAATAAATCTTCGCCACTATATTAGTGCCACATCTTTCACTTTTCATCTTCACCCAAATGCATTCTGCTTGGCTGCTTTCTTCCTTCTCATGAACCAGGGGACAAGCATATGTGTTTCTGACATACAAGGCAATATCACCACCTTTTCTGCCAACCCTGTCCTTCTGAAACAGAGTGTAACCCTCTGTGATGACATTGCAGCCATAAGAGCTGTCCCACCAGGTCTTGGTGATGCTGATCAACTTGTAGTTCTTCTCACAGGCTGCAGCTTCCAGCTAACTTATTTATTCCCAATAGTTCTTATGTTTGTATACATGCATCAGATCTGTTTTGCATTTTGACCTCCTTCCTCATTTCCCTTTTGTGTCACTTGCTGCAGTTCTGTAGCTTTCTGGCTCTTTCCTAGAGTTGAATTGCTTCAAGTCCTTTCCCATCTGGAATTTGTATTTTGTAGCTGGAGAGTTTTGATTACCGTGCCCTGTGGAACCTAGTTTAAAGCCCTCCTTACTAGGTTGGCCAGATGACTCCCAAAGATGTTTTTCCCTGTTTTTGTCAGATGGAGCCCATATCTTGATAGCAGTCCTCTTCCCAAGAACATCTGTCCATTGTCAAAGAAGCCGAAGTCTTCATTTTGACACCACCATATCAGCCACGTGTTTACTTCCAGGATACGATGGTCTCTGCCTGGACCCTTCCATGGGAAGAATTGATGAGAACACTTGTGATCCAAGCTTCTTAGTCTTCCTGCCAAGAACCTCATCAATGCCTCTGATCTGCTCAGTGTCGTTCCTGTCAGTATCATTAGTGCCTACATGGACAAGCAGGAAGGGGGTAGTGGTCCAAAGGATGGATGAGTTTTGGCTGTCTCTCTGTGACATCCTGTATTAGGGTTCCAGGTAGGCAGCACACCTCCCAGGCCCCTAAATCTGAATGACGAATAGGTGACTGTCCCCCACAGAGGGGAGTCACGCACTGCCACCACTCTTTTCTTCCTTGGTGCAGTGGTCCTGGAGCCCCTGTTCCTAGTGCCTTGCACTTCTTGCTCTCTAGACTCCTGCCTCCTCTGCCTCATGCCTGCAGATGTCCTTTCCTCTGCCTCTTCTTTGGCAGTTCCACCACAGAGCACCTGAAAGTGTTGCTGACTTCAAGCCACTCCTCTTCAGTCCTGGGGGCCCTCCTTCGAGTAGTTACATGCTGCCACTTATCCTCATTGCCCTTTGGTTACTCCAGTACCAGCCTCTCATAACTACTGGCCAAGTAATCTCCCTCATTCCAGATGCAATGCAGCATGGATACCCATGCTTCCAATCTGTAAATCTTTTCCTCCAGGCCAGACACCAGCTTACACTTGGTTCAGATGAAGTGCTCCTGCCCCTCTGGGAGGAATACAAACGTAGCAAACCGCACGCAGGTTACAACAGCTAACCCAGACTCCATTTTTTCCTCCTTTGCTCCCTGGAGAAAACCTGTGCTGTAAGGGGGAAAAAGTAGGGGGGAGGGGAAGGGGATAAGACACACCACATGAACCCATACACCAAGCACTTGCACCAGGGCCATTGCCCACACTCCCACGCATATGCAGTCTTCTGCTCCCTGGCTCCCTCTCAGCAAATTCCCTGAGCAAACTCCCTCTCTGGTTGCTGCCCTCTGTTCCTTGCTCCCACAGTTTGCTAGGGGCTGTCTTTTTATAAGGCTGCCTATCCTAGCTTCATCCATCAGTTACCTAAACTAGCCTCACCCAAAGTAAGCCCTGTCACTCAGTCAATCCAGTAGGAGAAAGAAAAGACCAAAAAAAGAAGAGAGCGAGAGAGAGCCCAGCAATCGCACACCCCAGGGGGGACCCCAAATACACACATCAGGCACTAGACAAGCAATCGAGCAGTAATCTACCACCTCAGGTCACTAGCACAGAGGCCACTTATCCCAGAGCCACTGCTCTCTGCTTACTGCTCAACTTACTGAGAATCCCCAGATTCTGAATTGCCATTTACAGATAAGGAAACTGAGGAAATGAAGGTTTAAGCTTGCTCCTGTATATAGGTGGGGGCTACTGACAAAACGAGGAATGGAACCCATGACTCCTAATTCACCCTCTCCATTCTCTTACGTTCCCTTGTGGGCAGTTTGATTTTTCTGTCTCTGCCTCATCCCTGTCATATCTCCTTGGAGAAGTCACCATGTTGCACTGAATTCTGTTGGGATAAGAAAGTTAGAGCAGTTGAACATTACCACACAGGCTAAACATTCCCTCATTCAGGCTGAGCTGTATTAATTATTGGTGAGGCTTTTCTAATAAAGATCCTTTGAAACCTGTGGTTATGAACATTGCCCACCTGCTTGCTGGGGGTACCCAAATGGTGTCTCTGGCTGAAGTCATTGTGTAGAGGGCACAGTTGGCTGGTGCACAGGTTCATAGATGCTAGGGTCAGAAGGGACCTCAATGGGTCATGGAGTCTGCCCCCCTACCTGTGGCAGGAAAAAGTGCTGGGGTTATGTGACCCCAGCCAGGGGTTTGTCCAGTCTCTTCTTGAAGACCCCCAAGGTAGGGGAGAGCACCACCTCCCTTGGGAGCCCATTCCAGATTCTGGCAACCCTGACCATGAGAAAGTTCTTTCTGATGTCCAACCTAAATCTACTCTCTCTCAGTTTGTGGCTGTTGTTCCTGGTTATTCCAAGGGGTGCCCTGGTAAACAGAGCATCTCCTATTCCTTGCTTCCCCCCTGGTGAATTTGTATAGTACCATAAGATCCCCCCCTCAGCCTTCTCTTGCGGAGCCTGAAAACGTTCATGTCTCTTAGCCTTTCCTCATAGGGCCTTCTCTGCAGGCCTCTAACCATATGAGTGACCCTCCTCTGGACCCTCTCTAGGTTGTCCACATCCTTCTTGAATTGTTGTGCCCAGACTTGGATGTGGTACTCCAGCTGCCGCCTGACCAGTGCCACATGGAGGGGAAGCATCACCTCCCTGGACCTATTCATGATGCACCTGCCAATGCATAACAAAGTTGGGTTAGCTCTGCTAATTACCTCATCACATTGATTCATTCATCCTGGAGTAGACAATGACCCAGATCTCTTTTTGCCACTGTGCTGCTGAAAACGTAATCCCCCAGCCTATAGATGTGCTGGTGATTCCCTCTCCCGAAGTGCAGCACCTTGCACTTGTCCTTGTTGAACTGCATCCTGTTGTTCTCTGCCCTCATCTCTAACCAGTCCAGGTCCACCTGGATTTGGTTTCTTCCCATCAGTGTGTTTACTTAGCCCCATAGTTTTGTGTCCTCTGCGAATTTGGACAGAGTGCTTTCCACGCCCTCATCCAGTTCACTGATGAAGATAATGAACAGCACCAGCTCAAGGACCAAGCCTTGCGGGACCCCACTGCCCACATCTTTCCAGGTTGATACCAACTCATCCATCACCGCTCTCTGGGTAGGACCCTTAAGCCAATTTGCCACCCACACGACTGTGTAATCGTCTATGGCGCAGCAGTTCAGTTTGTTTATGCGAATAGGATGGGATACCGTGTCAAAGGCCTTCTTAAAGTCCAAGTAGATGACATCTACCTCGACTAATGCATCTAAGCATTTAGTGACCTGGTCATAGAAAGAGACAAGGTTAGGCAGGATCTACCTGCTGTGAACCCGTGCTGGTTTCCCTTCAGCATTGTATTACCTGCTGGACTCCTAAAAATGTGATCCTTGCATGCAGTTTCCATTCTCCCAATGATTGTTTTTCATATTGGCTTACAAAATTGTGATTTCCCAGCACAGGTTGCTTTGATCTTCCCACCCACATTCCTTCTGGACCTGATGGTGGGGGAAAAAGGAACTTACCTCCTGTCAGTAACTCCTAACTACTTGCTAGGAAGTAAGACATTACCTGTCTGATCTCTTTACTCATACTCTTGTAGGGTTCTGCCTTTGTGGGGATACATGAGAGGATGGAATTTTTAGCCGTGTCTCACTGGGGTCTATGTCTCTATTCTTTTCAGACACCTGCAGAACTCCAGCCATGCTGGCCCTTTTGTGATTGTGTCTGAGGAAGCAATTGCTAAAGGTATCCGGAGAATAGTTGCAGTCACTGGAGCTGAAGCACAGAAGGTAAGTGAAGAGAGAAGGGGACCTGTAATGAAATCTGTCAGGTGGTTAATTTCCCAGAGCACATGTGTAGTGGAAGGGGAGTGACCCCAAGCACTGTCTGTCAGTAAGCAAGAGATTCTTAATATGAATTTGAGCCAGATTCTGACTGGAATCAATCCGTATTATGCCTTTAACTCTAGTGGTGTTATGTCAGTGAATTGTTGGCACTACTATCTGCAGCATTATTTTCAGCTTCTCACTTCAACAGCAGACCTGCAGGTCAGACCAGTAGAGCAAGTGATAGCATTATATGTTGCTGCCAAGCAAGGAATCTTGCTCACTAAGAAGTGGACCTGAGGTCCCTGACTGTGCCTCCATCAGTAAGGCATAGCTAGAGCCATACTGTAGACCAGGGGTGGGCAAAATATGACCCACAGCAGGGTTTTGTCCGGCCCATGGTAAGTCCCTCAGTCCCACCTGGCCCAGGCACCATCCAGCTGTGGCCCCCTGTGCATGCAGCGGGGCTGAGGTGGCTCCACAGCTGAACTGCCTTTTTAGGCAGTCCAGGGGGCAGCAGCTCCTTTTGCGGCTGTCACCGCCACTAGCCTCAGCTCCACAGTGCCAGTGGGGACCCACACTGCACAGCCCCGATGCGGCATGCCCCACTCCTGCTCCAGACTCACTTGCCCAGGCTGAGCACTGGCAGCGTAGGACAGAAACTGTTGCTTGGTGCGGGGGAAGAAACAGCCCCTCCCCCTCACCACTGCT